AACGTGGATACAGCACTTAAAGGAAAAAGAGCCCCTATCAGAAATGACCCCAAGCTCCTGGTGTCAGGCTGAGAAAGACCTGTGGGGCTCTGTGTATCACATCCACAAACAACAGGACTAAAGGCAGAACAAGGCCGGAATCACTGCTCACTTGATGTGTTTATTTCAACAAATTACCTATTTGCTGGTAAACAGCAAAATGCTTTTCAACAGCATGCAATGACAGGAAACTCCTCGCATCCATGGTCCTTTGGTCTCCTGCAAATCCTACACCTCAGTTAGCTCAGCACAGCCCCACCCCCCATGCATCTCAGAGCATGATCTTCTCTGATTCTCCTCACCCATCTTCCTATCTGATGGGCAGGTGGCCAAGAGTCCTGGGAAGTGTTCCCTTGTGCCCTCCCCACTCCAGTAGGTTCCAGTGGGATGGCCACCCAAGTCACACCCTTTCTCTATCGCCCCTCTCCCTTTGGGCAAGTGAGACAGTGTGGCAGTCCCCCATCCCACATCACAGGGTTGCTTTGGGGGCACTCTGCATCCTACCAGTCTTTGGGCAGCAGAACCTGACTCAATGGTTGCAACACAGTGCCCCTCCTAACCAGTGGAGAAAGACCTGATTGTATCTCAAGCCTGGACTCTGGACCTATCACTGAAAGGTTGCATTCCACACTGCCCCTCACTGGAAGCAGCCCTCTGACTGGGTGGCATGCCTTCGTTCTCCCAGTGGGCCCCCTGAAATCTAAATGGCCCCTCTCCCACATTAGTTCTCCCACTGGGCCACCTGAAGTCGAAGTGGACCCTCCTCCACGACCCTGCTAGGCTTGGAAAGTCATCTCCTTTTCACAGCTCAGCTGGGAGAGCCAGCTCCACTGCTCAGCAAACAACTCTCTGAGATAAATCCTCCCCAGGAGCCCTCTGTCCCACAGGGGACTCACAGGGTCATGGCCCAGTGTCTGTATCACTGAAAACACTGTTCACAATCTCTTTTTTCAGACATTATTTGAAAACAGGGACAAAATATAAAGGTAAGGTCCAAGATCCACCTCTAGTTTTAAAAGGCCAAGGATGCATCACCCAGGCCACCACAGATGCCCACGTGGCAAGGCAAGGATGTGAGACCAGGCAGTAAATAGATCCCAACTCTCCCACCCACTATCTCGGAAAGCCCCAGGTATCACCCACACCCACATCCTCAACTCACAGGTGCAGCTGTGCAGACCCACACCTCCCATGGCTTTGCTTTATGATACCTGGTCTCAAAATCCGGATGGCCTTGAAGTGCTCACGGCTTCTCTCACATGAAGGTGCTGAAATTAGAAGAGGCAGCCTCCAGATAGGAACCACAGGACATAGGCAGAATGTGGTGCTCAGCCAACACGGATCCTGGCAGCAGGGGTGCGCTGCCACAGGGCACATGTTCTTCTCCCTCCCTTGACACCATCAACACCAGAGCCCTAACTGGCTTTCCAACCTAGGAGCCCACCAAGCAATCCCCAAATCATTCCAGTTATCCACACCCACATGTGCCAAGGGGCTCCTGGCTTCACCAAATTAACAGACCTGCAGCACTTCCATGCAATGGAGTGGGTGTCTCCAGAGGGAGGAAAGGCACTCTCTTCTGACTTTCTGGGATCCCAGGGCCAGTGCCACACCCCGCAATCAGCTCTTCCAAGGGTACTGCTGGGAACCCCACAGGGAAGGTCAGGGAACATTTGCAAAGGCAGCTTCATGCAGCACTACATGCAATTATTTTTTTTTTTTTTTTTAGAGAGAATTTTTAAATATTTATTTATTTATATTTTTTTAGTTTTCGGCGGACACAACATCTTTGTTTGTATGTGGTGCTGAGGATCGAACCCGGGCCGCACGCATGCCAGCCGAGCGCGCTACCGCTTGAGCCACATCCCCAGCCCCCACTACATGCAATTAAACAGCCACATGACTGGTCCAGATGGACACCGCCCATCTCAGGAACTGCTGGTGTACCTTTCAACTGCAGAGGATAATGTTTGTTGGCAGTGTACTGGGTACTGAAAATAACCAGGAGCCAAACATGGGCCCCTTCCTTCCAAGAGGTCACAGTCTGGCAGAGGAGGGCACTCTGAAAACCACCAGAGGGCATGTGGTTCACTGTCTTGACCTTGGATCCCACAGAGCAACCAGCCCAGGACATGCTCCAGACCCACCTTGTGGGAGGTGTGTGTGTGGAGGGGGGCAGCACGCACCCTCAGAGCAAGAGCTGCACTTAACAGAGAAGTAGAAAGACAGCACAGGCTCAGCAGAGGAAACCCCAGAGGTGCAGAGACTGGGTGCCCACTTGAGTGGCATCGAGGGGCTTTTAACTTGTGCCTTGGTGGTTCTGTGCAAGGGGGAGCAGGATTTTCACTAGAAGGAACTGAAGGAGAAATGAAGGAGAGAGGGAATATATACCCATGTCGCAGAGCTGGCCTGATGACCAGAGAGGCCCAGGAGTGGAAGCAACGCTGGAGGAGAACACCATCCTAAGGTGGAGACACTAGGGTTTTCCAGCCAGGAGGCAGAACCAGCAGAAGAGATGAACACAGAGAACAGCTGCTCGAGGGACTGAGCCCCAGGGCCTTGATGAGAGGCCCCAAGGGCTGAGCGCAGCCCTGTCACTTTGGAGAGAATAGTGGAGATGACATATTTTAAGAGATCTTCCAAATCATTCCTAGAATCTTTACAGCCCAAATTATCAGAGTGTGAACGTTTCAAATATGTGTGAATCATGGGAGATACAAAGACTGTTAGAAACCTGAAGCTAACAGATGGCAGTTTCAACTCACCCAACAGAGATCCCAACAACAAAGGTTCAAGAGTTTGGTGCAAGATGTGAGAATGCCTGGCTCAGAGGGCTACAAACTGTCGCAGCAAAGTTGGTGTCAGGTGACTGCTGAGCACACAGGGCCCTAGGTGAAGGCCTGCAGAACCATCGCTGGTGATGCGCCAGCCTGGACAGGTCAGCACACAGCTAGCTCCCTGCTTCTCCATGCTCCTCTCTGCCCTTCAGAGTACCCAGGGCTGAAGGAACTCTGCTCCACACCCACGAGCAGTGGGGGACTGCCTGGGCTCCAGCGCTCGCCCTGGGACCACCTGGCAGAAGCAGCCCATGCCCACAAGCCACTTTTCACCAGGGCACAGCTTGGACTTTGTGAAAGGATTTCTCTGAACATCAACTAATGTTTTTTTCTTCTAATTCCCCAATCAAAATATGACTAAGAACTTCTTAAGGAATGGCCATGCAAAGGTGGCTAGCCTCTTGGAGACCCCAGCTCACTGAGCTCTCAGTGTGAAAAAAAGATCCAGAAGTTTTCAGCTGGGGGAGTCTTCCACTTGACAAGAAATGGGGGACAAAGCTGCAGGGGGTGGGGGCATTCTTGTACAGAGACCCATAGAGACGACAGGAGGGCAGAGAAAGCTGGAGGAGTTCTGCAGGTCCTCCAGGGGCCACAGGGAATTTTAGATGGCCACTGAACCCCAGGCCAGGCACAGGCTCAAGAGGCATCCCAGAGTGTGGACGCCAGGGCTGGCCCCAGTGAGGCTATATCTAAACCACCATAGACCTGTTTTATAGAGGAATTTATTCTGACCAAACATCAGATTGCTACAAAGCACTGTGGGGTGGACAAGGTGGCTGTCACCCCCTTTTAAATTCTGAGACAGCAGGTAGCCCACTTGAGTTAGAAGTTACAAAGTGAAGCAGCACTCAGGGCTCTTCCCACTTCACAAAGGCAGGACCCGGGACGTGAGCATTACACACCAGTGACCACAGCATTTATGTCAGGGCACACTAAGACACTGCCCAGCCAGGGGACCTGAGCCAGCCACTCCTTGGCCCTGGCAGAGCTCTCCTCAGGGGCCAAGACCCAAGCTCCCGTCCTCCAGGCATCTGAAGAAGGGCATCCTTGGTGTCTGTTCTGATAACTCTGTGCTTAAGTAACTTACTTAATTTGAGTAAAGACAATTACTCAAACTCTAAAACATCGGCGTGTGCACATGCTTGTTTTCACACAGGCTGTTATCAACCATGTGACCCTACTAAAGGGTGAAACACAGGCATATCCCCAGAATCATAAGCTAGAAGCCCATGAGGCCAGTTACACTGCAACCTGCAGACCAGAAGATGTGGTCTGACCTTCCAAGGGAAGCTCATGTTCCTCCTCAGGCCCAACAGCAGTGTCCCAGAATTCGCAGGACTGTCCTTCACACAGCATGGAAAAAGCCATGTTCTGTTCTCTGCTAAATGGAAATACTCCTTTCTCTTTCTTTCTCCTGGTTCTCCTGATGTGATTACTGCAGCTCAGGACTTGTATTTCTTGATTTCCTATCTTGGGGATTTCTACATGTGTAAACAAATGGGTGAATAATCGTCCTTCAGCACCTGCAGGGGACTGGCCCAGTGCTCCCCAGAAACCAAGCCTGTGGATGGTCAAGTCCACGCATGAGACTATGTATCTTTTTGTATGTTCTGCACCCCTGTCCCTACCCCTGTGTGCTTTCAATCATTTCTGGATCATATATAACGTCTGACACAGTATCAATGTTATAAAAATAGCTGCTGCACTGCATGGTTTAATGCAGTGAGTAGTGACAAGGAAAAGTGTGCACGTGTTCAGTCCACACATATGCACACACATGCAGCATGCACATGGAGGTAAAGAACAGGTGCTACTTCCCCACAGTAATGCTAACCAAGAGCCCAGTAAGCTCTTCTCCAAAACCACGAGACCATCGGGCCAGGGCCGAGAACCCATGGCTTCCTCGGACCTGGAACTCAGCAGCACCATCAGCATCTGGCCTGGGGCCCATCTCAGAGCCACGCAGCATGAAGACAAGCTACTGCCCGAGAAGAGCCCTCGGCATATACGACTTCTAATCCTGTCAATGGAATACCACTGCAGTGGAAAGGGATGGAAGCACACAGCCTCTGGTCACAGAGTGGCCATCTCAAGACCGGGGCACCTGGCTGGTGGGGTCTGTACCTGCAGGTCCACAAGCTGTGCGGTCGATCTTCCCTGGAGGCACAAGGCCTGGGCAACAAAGGCATGCAGATCCTCCAGGCAGAGTGTGTCCACCTGAAAGCAACAGAAAAGGTCTGCATTAGGTCACAAGAAAGATCCAAAGCTTCTGTAGTTGACCTGAGTCACTGAACATGGGCCTGCCACATATACACAGAAACACAAGTAGGAACACAGGTGGGCACACAATGCTTCTTAAGCTGGGGCAGCAATAAGGCCTGCCTGTGGGAAAGCGCAGCTGCTCCGCTTCCCCTACACAACCCCCGGCTCAAAGCCCTCTGGTGTCCTCAGCTGTGCACATGACTCAGGTTAAGCTGGACAGGGGAACCTGGATTTCCAGTAAGGTCTGGCTCCTCTCAAGCCAGGAAGAAAGGCTCAGATTGTCTGGGAGTGAACAGGAGGTGCCAACCAAGTCAAGTCTTAGAGCAATATGGCGAGCACTTTGGGCACACACCACAGAGCAGACCACACAGGCTCTCCAGACAGCACCCACAGCTAGGCAGAGCTGGGGTGGCAGGAGGGGCACATCCACCTCCAACAACCTGAATGGAGCTGTGTTCTTGCCAGAGTCCCACAGCATGAACCCTCTCATTTTTTGTGGATTCAAAAGGGCTAACAGAAATACAGAGAAGAGACAGAGAAACAAGGGAAAGAGACAGAGTGGGAAAGCTGAGTCTCAAGTGAGCCGTGGTAACGAAGAAGCCGGAAGAGCAGAGACAGACTGTGCCTCTGCCTCTCTCCTACCTCGCACACACCTGAGACTGCCACTGTCCTCGTGGCCACTGCACTACCCAGTTACCCCCGACTCCACTACTACACAAGAACGCAAGGGCTTTTTCCAGATGGACAGCAGCACAATGTGGCAAGTGCAGGCTAGGGGGAAGAAGCACAACAGTGAACTTAGGAGTCCGGGGTCCCCGAGCCCTTCTGAGTAATAAAGGCTGGCACGTCCACTCCCAGCAAAGGGGCCCACTGTAACTTTGAGAGACCATCCATTAGGGAATCCTGCTGACCCCAGCCACGAGACACCACTGGAAAGACACCACATGGAGCTTCGAGTATGTGCCACCCTACCCAGGCAGATAGGCTCTCACCAAGATCTGGGCATGTTCCATGTTTACTCCAAAGTGCTGTCACCTTCACACTAGGGACAGTAATGTAAATTATTTCAGGAAAACAGCTGCCTATGTACAGTATTCATGATCAGGAAAAAGGATGTCAATCTTAGAAGCAAGACCAAGCAGGAACTCCCATATCTCTGCTCAGACTGAGGCTGGCTGCAATCCACCCTCTCGCCACTGTTGCTCCGACAGGCTCTTCTTCACCACCCGCCTCTGAGAAGGGCACTGCTCTGTAACGCATGGAGACTCCTCACAGTCTGCGCTGGGAAGTCCGACCTCCTGTTGTCGGCAGTGGTTTTCATTAGACAGCGCACCTTATATAGTAGCTGCTCCACTGCAAACCGCTCATCTGCCACCTCCTCATGAGTCCTGGTCTTCTGTCATTGCTTCTGTCATTGCTGTTAACTTGAAGGTTTGCCCAAACAAGAAGACTGAGTTCCTCTACAGCTTCCATACACTGCACAGCATGCAGTTTCATCCCACACTGCATAGCAAAACACCAAACTGAAGTGTAACTACACAAAACTAATATTTTCACAAATATACCTTTGTGGCTTCCTATTCTGAGAATCATCATCCCTATATCTGGAAGCACAGCACCTTTCCACCCTCAAGGACACCCTGTGGAAAGTTCCTCTGCAACCAAACTGACATATCCACTTGCGCCAAGAGAGGTCATGGTCAGGACAGGGTGGAATCCTCGTCTCCCTGCTGCCTTGTTCCAAGTCTCAATGAAGTGGACATGACGCTAACTCTGGGATGCTGGGCTCTTCCTGCCTGCACAATGAAGGGGAGCACAGGAGAGCTGTCGCATGACCAGAGATGGATCACAAAGCCATCTCCACTGAGGGAAAAGGCACTCAACGTGCCCATCCCAAGAGTGCTGATGCATGCCACTCCACTGCACACAGTACTGCCAGCAAAGCACTCATTGTTATGGGTGAGAAAAGTCCACTTTCTGGCTATCCACTGCTTCCCAGTTTTCACTACATCTCAAATTCAACCATAGACATATGAAGATAAATGAAAAATGGATGAAAAAAAGTAACCAATGATATACTGATGGACAGTTAACATGCATACCAAAGAAATTTTAACACTTAAATATTACAAAATTCCTGACATCTATATAAATTTATGCTTTTCTATCTTGTACAAAGAAGTATTCTACTCAATCCAGTAACAAAAACTAAAGTTTCTACTACTATATGCTATAAAATCAGTAACAGAAGATCTGTCTAAACACATTCTGTTTTTACAAAATGGTAGCTACAGAATGGGCAGAGAATACTTAAAAAAGAAAGTCGGTGTACAGGTACAATTCCACAATAGGGAAGTTTTTCAAAGATAACCAATAACTGAATGACATTTCACTCTATACGACTAGAAGCTGAACAATACATGCCAGAGCAGACCCACCCCAGAGGCAGGGCAACAGGGAGATGGGGCCTGACATTCACAGGGCTAGTGACTGTCCTGACGGCTGTAGAAGAGACACACACCACAAGCAGGAATGATGTTTCTGAAGACAAGTGTGGGAAGGAGACACCTTTAACAAGTGTCCACCACGATCACAAATATGGGGGAAAAAAAAACAAAGAAAAGCCTTTTAATTGGCTTTTATGATTTTCTTACATAAACTAAGTGTAAGACTACTGAAAAACAAATAGACCAACTTGCTGAGTGACACTAACATGAAGGATCTGGCACTGCAATTCTTACAGCGCAGTCCATAGCCAGGGCCACATGAGTTCCTTAAGGCAGGAGAACATTAGTGACAAGAATACCGAGGACATCAGTGGACATCGTACAGGGCAGTACTGCAAAACGTTTCACGTACTCTAGAATATGGCTTCCAATAACCCCAGAAGGCAGCTATTGCTATTATCTCGTTTGCAGATTGGAAAAGGAAGTTATATACTCAGTAAACATTTTTGGATAAAGGAATGGACATGACCTGAGGAAGCTGCAGGGACTGCCCAAAGGCAGAGCGACCAAGGGAGAAGCCAGCCACTTTCACCCACCACTCTATGGGACCCAGGAGCAGAAGGGACATAGAAGCAGAAGCCACCCACTAATCACAGGAGGACCAAGGGCAGGGGTGACAGCCTGAGACAGTGAAACCAAAGCACCTCACCTTTCCAAAGCTTCTGACTAACATGTACCATAACTCCTGAGTTTAGAGCAGAGACAGCCCTTGGTCACATCTGAGCAGAAAGCCTTTTTTTTTTTTTTTTTTTTAAGATGTTGATAGACCTTTATTTTATTCATTTATTTATATGTGGAGCTGAGAATTGAACCCAGTGCCTCATACAGACTAGGCAAGAACTCTTATCACTGAGCACAACCCCAGCCCTCACAGAGCCTTCTTCTTCTGTGAGCAACTCGAAAGACTAACAGTGTTCCATGGAAGAGACACTGGGAAAAGATACCCCAGGGACAGCCACAGCACCCCAGGAAAAATGGGCCAGAGTGAAGATCAGCTTCAGACACAGCAACAAAACTTAGTGTTACCTGGACAAAGAGGTAGATCAAGAGGCAGCACAGAGCTCTCAATGGGCTTTCGACAGCCAGCAGCTCGTCTCTTGAAGAGGAGAGGTTGAAACAGGCTAGGAGTGCATCCAAACGCCGGGCCTGCACTGCTGGCTCTTGGTTCAGCCACAGTGATTTCAGGCTGGGTGTTCCCCCTAAAAAAAAAAAAAAAAAAAAACAAAACCCTTCTTACTCTTTTTATTTGCAGCACCAAACTACTAACAAGCTTCCTCTGGAAACACAGCAAGTGCAAACATCTCTTCCTTCATTATATACTTGAGGCCTCAAACCTTAAAAGAAACTGGAACATAAATATGAACACAGCTTCCCAGTTTTAAAAGAGAACAAAACCTGAAGGGTCAGTACACATACTTCACTGAAAACCTTCTTCTGTGGGAAGCTGGGACTCTAGCTCCCACTGTCGGAAATGCTTCTGAAAACAGACTCCACTGGGCAATTCCAGAGTGTGACAAGGGGCGCCACCCTGTGGTGGCACACCTCTGGGTGTGCTGTGAGGGGTGCAAGAGAACGGGCTGCAGGACCACTGGATGTGTTTTCCTGGGATCTGTGGGGACGTTCTGCTCAGGGGAGGCGTGCCAGGGATTCTACAAGCCAGGATATGGGCATCTCGACCTCACGCTCTAGAAAGCACTGCCCTAAACTTCAGAAAAATTCCTAAAAAACTAATTTTTAGTGTTTCATTTCTGTACTTTACACATAAATTTCTTTAAAAATCAAAAGAAAAACCCTTCATCTACTTAAGTCAGGAAAAGCAGCAGTGAATGTGGGGAAGACACAGCAGACATGGGCAGCTCCACCCTGAGCAAACGAGAAGGTGCCGCCATGAGACTGGTGGAGGGTAAAACCTCTCCATGATGCTCAGCAGCTCTGACATCCTGTCAGGCCACTGCTACACAACATATGCCAAAACCACAGGGACGGCTGGGGTAAGAGTTCCCATGTGTTGGGCTGGGATTGTGGCTCAGCGGTAGAGCACTCGCCTAGCACGGGTGGGACCCAGGTTCGATCCTCAGCAACACATAAAAATAAAGGCATTGTGTTGTGTCCATCTATACCTAAAAAAATAAATACTCTTAAAAAATATATACAAATTTAATTTAAAAATTTATATCCCCCCAAAAATGAAAATAAAATTTGAAAAATGCCTAATTAGGCTATGGATAGGTGGTTGTAGATAAGTTCTTGAATGTCCAGACTAGGAAATATGTGTTTACCAAGAAACAAGAAACAAGAGCGGCTAACCAAAAGGCACCAGAACCCAGGGTCTCAGAAGGAAGTCTTCACTCTCTTTTGTCCCTTGAACCGTCCAGTGTTCTCAGGGGTACTTCTCCCACTGTCAGAAGTGAGGCACTCACATGTGCTAGGCGAGCGCTCTACCACTGAGCCACAACCCCAGCCCCAAGGTCACCTCAAGGACAGGAAACTCAGGCAGCGCTCAGTTGAGGGCAGCACTGCTGTCTGCCTGGCATGGCCACGAGCAGAACAGGAGGCAGCAAAGCACCCTGCAAGCTCTCCTGATGGGGAAGGAAAGGTCAGTCTGCAGGATCCCACAACTGCTACCCAATATCACACCACCAAGAACACCTGTGATGGGGAACAGACACTCTGCCTGCCCCTCCAGTTCAAAAATCACTCCACAATATTCGTCATGCCTATTAAAAAGCATTAAAAATGTTAAAATCTTATCCTTTTTACTGATTGTTATCAACATAACTATAAACAAAGAGCCACAGAAGTTCCCAGTCCTATTTTTAGCTTTCTAGCTATGGAACACACACGTGTCTGAGCCGAGGCCTTTGGGGACAGAAGAGGCAGCAGGCCATGGTCCATGGCACTGCACACACCATCTGCAGCTCCAGATGCCAGGCAGAATGCTTTCAGGACCACCAAAAGGAATGTTTCCAATACTTACCTGATTTCCAGAGTTTATATACAGCAAACTTCAAAATTAACACATGATATGATGAACAGCCAAACATTCTAATTTGAATCATGAGAAAACTGTAATAAGCCATTTCCATGTAACTTTTGGAAAGATACCATAAGATGGAAGCTATACGTATAACAAAGCACTCTTGGAAAATCATTTCGGCTACCCTATAAAAAATTCTTCTTAATGTAAAATCAAATGTCAATGTGCTTTAATCGATTTTTGTGATAACTTCTTTTTTTAGGGTTGAGTCTATCACAGCAAAACAGCTAAACAAAAAAGGAAATATGCCTTACAATAACTTTTCTCGACACTTCTCCTGGTATAATTTCACTTATTAAAAAAACTACTTGCAGGGCTTGGATCCATATTTGGTAATATACACTCATGGAATGTAAAGTGGCAATGCCAAAGAATTAGCATATGAAAATAGAGTATCAAAATTTTAGAAAAAATATTTGTTTCTGAAATAATGACATGGGCTACTAAATATAAATTCTAAAACCCACCCTTCCTTCTCCAGAGCTATCAATACGCAGGACACAGCCCAACTGCTGGGTGCCCCAACAGTGTTCATATATTGAGAATTGTGCAGAGAAAGGTTGATGTTTGGATTCACTTCAGCTGGTTTTTCATGACCTTTGTTTTTCCTTCCTTTTCACAAAGCTCTAAGGCATTGGCCATGAAAAGAAAACTTACTTTTCCAGATCCAATAAGTCTCCTTGATCTCCCCTTTCTAGTACTATCCCTAGAAAAAATATATTTCTGAAGACACGAGCTTATTCAAGCAGAACATCAGGAACCCTACCTTGTAAATTCAGAGGTGCTTTCAGCACCCAGAGGCAGGTAGGGCACGGGGCAGCAGTGGCCTCTGATCACAGCCTCACGTTTCTTCCTTGCCACTGCTCTGGGCCTTGAGCAAGAAGAGGAAGAAGCAGAAGCATGCAGCAGACAGGCCCAGAACCTGTCCTCTAATGCATGAACACCTTACCAGAGATGCGCTCATCTAAGGCCAAAGGTTGAAAGGAAAATCAGAGTTTGCACAGCACCGCAGAACTCATCACTGGGCTTACGTCCTACATCGAACAGACCACGGCTGTCTATACCTGGAATGATCATCGGCAGAGGCCTGACGAGGTCCGGGTGCCGCAGTGGGTTCCCAGGGTACACGAACCACTCCTTCACAGCCAGGCTGGCGCTGATGTCATCTGAGGAAAGACAGCAGGTCAGAGGGCAGGAGGCCCACTTGGTCTGTGGGCACGTGTCTGCCCCATGAGAGGTCCTCTCCCCGAGGGGACCTGACTTGGTCAAGGCACTGACAGCTTTTTCCTTCCCTGGCCTGAGGGCAGCCCTCATTCCAAGGAAAGCCAGAACCTGGGGACCAGACCTGCCAGGTTCCTCCCCCTTTATTCATACTCTGGCAGAGAATACTGAGAGAAAAATGCTGGGAGAGAAAAGTCCTTTCGGTCTTTAATAGACTCTGAAAAAAGTTGGTACAATAAGCCAGGCACATTGGTGTAAACCTGAAATCCCAGCAACTCAGGAGGCTGAGGCAGGAGGATTACAAATTTGAGACTAGCTTCAGCAAACTTAGTGAGAACCTGTCTCAAAATAAAGTAAAATGGGTTTGGGATGTAGCTCAGTGGTAGAGCTCCTCTGGTTCCAGCCCCAATACCAAAAAAAGAAAAGAAAAAGGTTGGTACAATAATCCAGAACAAAAGGGCTTACATACAACAGATGAAGAACTGTAGGAAAACTCAGCTTGACCTCACTTCTGTGTCTCACTCAGCGTGCCAATGTGAAGGGCACTTTCTACTCAACACTCCTGCTGGTCTGGAAACCCTCAGGCACAGCGGCAGGATCTCCATAGCAACAGAACAAGCCCCTGCTCCACACCTCCCTCCTCCTGCCCCCAGGGCCACTGGCTCCCTGGCTTAGAGGGCTCTCTGCACCCAGTATGATATGAGTACCAGAAAATACAATAGGGCCATTGACTAGTGTCAATAATCTATTAGTTAGTGTGTGTGTTAGATAAAGACTTTAAGTATTATGTCCATGGTGTAATGTAAACTACAAAATTCAGATACTAACTACAGAACTTAGGTATGACTTAAGTTAGTGTTGTAAGAGTCTACGTCCAGGGGGTAGACCCCAGAGCCCACCCAGTTATCAGCTACAAGCACAACTGAACTAGGACTTGAAAACCCAGCCTTCTAGGGGCCAGTGGGACTAACCAGACCCCGATAGAGACAGAGACGTCTGTCTCTGTTGTTCCCCTTGCACCAGACGCCTCTGGCATGGATCGAGTTCCAATGACCTGGACTTAAAACACAGCACAGGTGAATGCCTGGGACCCTTGTGTGTAGCCTCACTTAGGACTCAGAATTAGGATGTGTATCTGAAGTGTAATGAGCGTTAATAAGACAGATTTGGTTGAATCTAACTGCACCTCAGACTGAGTCTGTAGAAACCGCTTGTGACACATTGCAGGCATTGTTCCTGTCTCCTGAGCCTCTCACCCGAGCTCCTTTGTGTTCAGGTCTCTGAGTCCCCCACACCCCTCTGGGGTCACTGCTTCCTGCTGACCTGGGAAGCCAACGCCTTGCTCACTGCCCTCACATCCTTTGTTCAGGTTTGCCCCACCCTGCTCTACTGAGATGTCGCTACCCAGCAGACACTGTGTGTTTATTCCACTCTCCCTGCAACTGGCCCCTGCCTATCAACACCCCATCCCTCCTAGGCTCCTCCCAACGCCATCTCCTCCTTTGCAAAGCTGCTCTCTTCTTGCCCATCCCTAAAGCTAGTGTCACGGGTTCAGTCCTGCCCTGGTGCACAACTAGGCCTCTGGGACTGCCTCTAGCCTGCCTCCTCGAGCTCCAGCACGAGCTGGCCCTCACTGGCCAACAGCAGAAACGCATTCTGAATGGAGCCCTTACAACTGCACAACAGGTAAATCACACAAGAGGAACAAAAGGCCAGAGCAGGGTCTGAGCAGAAGGCCTGGGCAAGCCAGGTGCATCTCTCCAGGACATGACCGTCTCTCCACACATCATTTCCTACCCACTTCCAGTACCCAGGCATGCCCATCACATCTAGGCTGTGCCCTGCCTGGGAAGAGAACTGCCCCTGAGATTGCCCCCTACCCCCGTCCTCCACACTGGCACTGAGGAGTGCTGGCTTGTCCTTGGCCCTCATCTGCAGTCTTAGCCTCAGCCAAGCCAATCTCCAATGCAAATGGAGGGGTTTTTTTGTCTTTTGCTTTTTTAAAATGAAAATTTAACCAGGCTGCTGCCTGATTAAGATCTCCCCCAGTGGCTGTACTCCTGAATACAAGTGCCCGCTGCTTGCCTCTGCCCCAGAACTCTTCTGGGTCGCCTACCTGGCTGCAGGTCCTCAGGGCCTCCCACTCACTGTTCCTCCTTTGCTGGCTACAGTGTTCCTTTGCTCTGGAACTGTCCCTTGCCACCTCCCTTGTTCTCCACTTGGTTACATCCTCTCTCCTTGCGTCTCAGTGTGGCCTGTGGCCTTGAGTCCACACAGCAATGCCTTCCCTCCTATCTTCTCTCCAATGCAGAGCTTTGGCCAGGTACTGCTGATGCCCACTTATTAACCACAGGATACAACCCCAACTTTAAGCTTGCCATAGCAAACTCTGTTCTTAGCAGAAGGCCAGACCAGACGCTCATGAACTGAACTGAATGAACACTTCAACTCATCCTGAATTTCACACACACACACACACACCCTGAAAAGTATTCTTACAGCTGTTATAAAACAAAACAACAAAAACACCCACTCTGTGTGGTCCAACTGAGGTGATTTTCGCTGCACTGGAAGTTCCTGGGTGGATAACATGCTAAACCACAACTGCCTTTCCTCCCTCACTGGAGACAGCACTGCCAAGAGTATCCTTGGGAAATCGCTGAATACAGATAGCTATGTACTACGCAGACTCTGCACAGGAAAACTCCTGGCTGCCACCCATAGAACCAGCTGGCTAGAGGACAGAAGCTAATTATACTGCTGGCTTGATTTTTTATTGCCCAGATAACATTTCATCTGAAACTGGTAAACCCCAGGGAAGGGCGTAGGAGAAGAACTGGTAATAAATAGACAGGTGTTAAAGTTGCACTGTCCCTTGGAGTACAGGTGCAGGGACATTTAAATCAGAGCCAGGAAGCCAGACAGTGTGCCAGACTCTGTATTAGCAGAAGTCACATCTGACTCTGCTGGCAGGCTCTGTGCAGCTCTGCTTCCCCCTGGCCGAGAGGAGGAAATACAGCACTCAGGGCTAGCCCGGTCAGCATCCATGAAGAATAAGCTTGTGTTGTCAACATCCAGTTTGACCTTTCAGATGCAGCATTTTCAATCCCTAGTCCAGATCGGCACTGTCACACCTAAAAAACTCTGCTAGACACTACACACACACACACACACACACACACACACACACACACGAGCTCTTAAGTACCAGCTCCCGCCATCACCGGCAAGATCAAGGAGTGGGGTGGGCTACATTGGGCAGGGGGAAAGAGAAGGAGCAGCCTTTCATTATGGGGATGTTCCAATTTGGTAATAATCTCCCAACTTTTCAAAAGCTGTATCTTTCCTTTTGGTTCTGATATTTTTATATTGCTGCCTTAGTCTATGTATGTGTATGGCCTCAGTTCATATGTTTGTGTATGGCCTCAGTTCATATGCTAGTTTTTACACACATCCGAAAAGTTACCTATTGAGTGGCTATTTAGGATGGGCTGGACTCAGAAGGCCAATGGCTGTCCTCTGACAATATACCAACCATCCTGAAGTTTCCCTGGTTCCTAGGATGTCTGTTGGAAGGAAATGAGGCAAAAGGGACAATGGGTCCAAGGCTGCCAGCACGCCTGGGCTCCCCCAACACCGTCAACCAAGGATAGCTATAGGAACAGAGCAGACAGACCCCACCTCTTACATGGAGTCTCTTTTACACCCTTACGTTTAATGGAAGCTTTTACTGAATGATTCAAGCTATGATATATCCATTAGAGGAGACTTAAAAAGAGATACAAAGGCAAGAATGGGTCTGAAGGCAGGGACTTTAGGGCTCCCACCCTGTTGACCACATGCCATCTAGGACATTCAAACACCACATGCTCAACTACACAAAGCACACATGTGGCAATACCAACACACACTCCCTTGAGGCTCCCTGTGAGACATCAGGTGAGCTGACATGCCCGAGATCAGGGTCCAGAATGTATCCTTGGGGGGAGTTTGTAGGACCAGCACGCCAGCCCACGGCCTGAGACTTGAGATTGCCAACTCAGGCCACGTGAGGCTGGGCTGGGCTCTAGGCTGGGTCTGCACCATGAGAACGAGTGGTTCCTCCATTTATTCAGGCTGGCCTGGAGACTGCTACCAACCCGAGAAGGCTGCAGAACATGTCTCCCACCTGAGTGTTAAATCCAATCACAAGTTACCTTCTCTGCATTGCTAACTGTAGACACCCTTGAAAATCTAATATTTTAACTAAACATTCAAAACCCTTAAACTCAAGACCTGATGCACACCAAGAAACCCACCAGGGGCAGCAAAAAACCATCATGCCAACATTTCAGCCCAGCAAGAAGGACAGACAACCAGGCACAGGAATGAAAGCACAACTGTGAAAAGCCTAAGCATGAGAGCCATCATTCGCTATAAGAGCAATGGACTTTAGACTGACAATAAGGGGAGACATGGAGGAGTCAGTTTTAAGGACTTGAGGGATAAACAGAATTGATCAGACCTATGCCTAGGGTTAGCATGGTTTAAGCCAGAGAAAGATTCTGTGCTGTCAACCTGGGCAGTTCCTCAGGAACTGCCAGAGACAGCTTGGGTATAAATGTGAGGACTCTGCCATGTGGAGTTTGGCAGACAGCTGGAGCCCAGAGGGAGGGAAGGGGGCTCGATCCCAAAGCCAAAGATGCCAGCGTGATTCCCATCCCCAGGCTAAAGAGAGTGGAGGACTTCAGGAGGAGAGGAGAAGCAGTGAATTTCATGTAGGTCAGGGCAAGTGGTCTTGGGAGCTCAGGTGACTGCCCAGGAAGGCCCTGCCTAAAGAGCAGGGTGGTACCAGCTCCAAGGCATAAACTTTCAAGGACTAGAAAATTAACTGCTAAAATAATAGACCTCAACAGCCATCCTAGCACCTAAACGTTCCAGCAAGCCAACCAAAGATGCCTGATGAGAGAGTAAACAGAAGATGAGAAGTCAAGACAGACTTGAGGAAGCCGCGAAGGGAGCCACGCCACAAGCAAATCTTGATGAAAGGAGGCTCAATTTCTTTCAAAAACAGACAGGAAATAAAAGCCCACAGATCCAAGGAGCTCAAGAAACTCACAGGGGAACAGAAACTCGAACAATGCAAAGCTCTTCCTCATAAAACTGCAGAAAACCAGAGCAGCTCAAGAAAAGATAGAGAACATACAGAAAAAGCAATGTGAAGGACCTGTGATGTCACAGGAGAAACACACCAGGACCTTTCAACATGCTGAATGCAAAAACAACATGCCTGAAGTTCCATATTCAGCAAACCAAACCTTGAAAATAATAAATTTTCAGGAAAAATGCTCAGGATATCTAAGGCTGCACCATCAACAATGTTGGACAAGTTCTTCAGATGAAGGAAGGCAGCACTGACTGGACCCTGCAGCTGTGCAGAGGGATGAAGAACTGGCAACAGCACAGAAACACTTTCTGTGACTTTAAAACACAGCTGTTCTGATATCTTTAAAACACAGCTGTTCGGAACAGGGGTTGGAAAGCTACATTCATGGCCAAACCTGGCCTGCTTATTTTCACACAGCCTGAAAGCTAACAACGCATTTCATATTTTAAAGTGGTTGGAGTTGGGTGTGGTGGCACACACCTGTAATCCCAGCAACTTGGGAGGCTGAGGCTGAGCAACTTAGTAAGACCCTGTCTCAAAAAATAAAAACGGTTGGGGATGTGACTCAGAGATTAAGTGTCCTTGGGTTCAATGGCACCAATAAATAAATAAGAAAGAAAGAAAATGGTTGGGAAAAAAGGAGGGCACTTAATGACTCGGGAATGATGTAAAATCCAAGGTGTGTCACAGAGAGAGGTTTGCTGGTGTGCAGTCACACACATACATCCCCATCACCGGAGGCCTCTCACACTGCAGCAGCAAACCTAGGCCGCAGAGACAGATGGTGGTCCTCAGAGCCTAAGATGCTTTTCTGCCCTTCACAGAAAAAGCTAGCTTGGCTTAAACTAACAGTCACAATCATGTATTGTGGGGTCCAACCCTGTTTGCAATCTCCAGAGGTTATATACCACAGACCACTGTATTCTCGAGCAGAAACAGGAGATGGAGAGCAGCTCAGCAGCCACAGGGGAAGGATGCTAAGGGCCTGCCAGTGCTCTGTGCCTTGCTTATGGATGGGCTCACAGGAATCCTAGCATGGGAGACAGCTATATGGGACTGCATATGTGCATGTTGCACAGTTACAAAGAAGCTTGTGGTGCAGGCAGTATGACTGCAGCAGGGTCAACTTCCTGGTTTTGATGTATATTAGGGTCCAAAAAATATGCCACCTGGGTCAGGGTTGTGCTCAGTGGTAGATCGCTTGCCAAGCATGCATAAGGCACTGGGTTCGATCCTGGCACCATTTAAAATAAACAAAATAAAGGTATTGTGTCCATCTACAACTGAAAAAAAAAAAAAAGGACACCACCTTTAGAGGAAGCCGGGAGATGGTGCACGAAAATCTCAGTGCTATCTCTGCAACTTCCTGTGAATCTATAATTATTCCAAATTTGTTCTTAAAAACATACAGAAGACATGAAATAATAATAAAAATATTGAGAGGAATAAAAGGTCTTTATGCAGAAGGTGAAGGTGGAAAGGTACTATGTGAAACTAAAGTGTAATGTTAAAGATACACATGATAAACCCTAAAGCAACCACTAAAAAAACCAAAAAAGAGAGCATGAAAAAAAAATACTAAAGATTATCCAATGAATCCTAAAGTCAAAAAAGGAGAAAGTACAGAACAAAGAACAAAGTTGAAGGCAACTCCAGAACGTCAGCGATCACACTAATGCAAACAGACTGACCGTTTCACTCATAGAGATTGTTAGACTTGACATGCTATGTACAAAAAGTGCACTTCAGATAACAAGAAACACCTTACAAGGAAAAGGACAGAAAAAAGACACTATACACACAGTGACACAAGTTGAGTGTACACAGTGACCCGACAAAGCCAACTGCGGAAAAGAGTATTCCAGATTAAAAAATAAAATAAGATCTAATTTTCAACTTTTTACAAGGGTCAATTCATTAAGAAACAATGAACTGGTGCAATGTATGTGCACCACACAACTGAGTTTTAAAATACTTAATGCAAAAGCTGACAGAACTATAGGAAAAAAGATGAATCCATGGTAATAGCTGGAAATACCAGCCCTTTTCTCTCAGCAACTGAGAATGAGCAGACAGGAAATCAGTACATCACTGACATTCACAGAACATTTCAATCTGTAACTAGAACACACAGCACCTTTAGGTACACACGGAACAATAACTTAAGTCAGGCAAAAAACAGAGCACACTCCACTGTTAATCACCATAGATAAAGCCAAAGCATTTTATTTTTATATTCTTTTTTTTTTTTTTGGTACCAGGGATTGAACTCGGGGCACTCGACCACTGAGCCACATCCCCAGCCCTATTTTGGATTTTATTTAGAGACAGGATCTCACTGAGTTGCTTAGCACCTCACTTTTGCTGCGGCTGCCTTTGAACTGTGATCCTCCTGACTCATCCTCCCAAGCCACTGGGATTACAGGCATGTGCCACTGCGCCCAGTTTTATTTTCGTATTCTAAGAAACTAAACTTCATGTGCAAATCCATAAAGTTGAGGGGGAAAGAAAGGAAGTAAAGATAAAATGTGAAGACAAGTTCTATTTGAGTATTTTTTCTTATTTATGTGGTTATCTAATAACATTATCTGTAGGGTTCTAAGTAAGTTAAATTAAGAAAGAAAATCTAGGTAGTAAATATCACTTACCAAAATAGTCTAAACACAATACCTAGTAAATATTATACTATAATGTAAATTTTTTTTTCTTGAGAAGATATCACCTTTTAATCACTAGAGTATAGAATTATTAAAGTTAAGAAAGAATATGGGGGGCTGGGGATGTGGCTCAAGCGGTAGCACGCTTGCCTGGCATGCGTGCGGCCCGGGTTCGAACCTCAGCACCACATACAAACAAAGATGTTGTGTCTGCCGAAAACCGAAACATAAATATTAGAAAATTCTCTCTCTAAAAAAAAAAAAGAAAGAAAGAATATGGGGGCTGGGGTTGTGGCTCGGTGGTAGAGCGCTTCTATCATGTGTGAGGCACTGGGTTCGATTCTTAGCACCATATATCAATAAATAAAATAAAGATCCATCAACAACTAAAAAAAAAAGAAAGAAAGAAAGAATATGGGCAGAAAGCCACATCGGTGGCGCACGCCTATAATCCCAATGGCTCAGGAGACCGAGGCAGGAGGATTGTGGGTTCAAAGTCAGCCTCAGCAAAAGTGAGGCAGTAAGCAACTCAATAAGATCCTGTCTCTAAATGAAATACAAAATAGGGCTGGTGATGTGGCTCAGTGGTTGAGTGCCCGGGTTAAATCTCTGGTACCCCCCACCAAAAAAAAAAAAAAAAATTCAAGTTCAAACATTTGGCATTTGGTCCTAGAAAATTTATTTCTGTGCTTTAGCACCTTCCTTGTGTCTGCACAGCACACGGGAGAAGGCAGTGCATGCTGTGTGGCACTAGGAGTCTACTCAACCAGGAACTCCAAGACCCTACTGTCTCCTCCCAAAAGAATGACAGGGAGATGTAGCTCAATGGTAGAGGGCTATATGCCTTGCACAAGAGCCTGGGTTCACTCCCTAGTACTAAAAAACAAAACAGAAACCAAAACCAAAAGGAAGACAGCTTTTTCATCTGGAAATTGCATCAGTACCTTTAGATTATGCAAACATCTACCTTCTGGAATAACAGACTGATCTTAAAAATATTGATATGTCTGGAAATATGGTGCTCAGTCAAGCAAATGGGCCCCAAGCATCCTCTTATTTGCTAGTTTCAAACCATGTTCTTAACCAAAGTTCTGTCCAATCAGAGTACCTGTCCAATCATAAAGTACCTGCCTAAGGTCTCCTTCTAAGAGAAGCAAGGCTTCACACAAAGAACTAAACAATTATGCACCCCTGGTTTCTAATATGCGGAGCTCTTCTTCACTCCTGACTCCCTCAAACTACTCCTAATAGTGAGTTATGGGACCTGATTACCTTAACACCTGGTATACAAGTCCTTTTTACCATTCTGGACACGCATGGTCCTCTACTATCAATGGCTAAGCATTCAATGGAAATAAGAGATAAAAGAAAATATAAACTTAATTACAAAATTCTAAAGGAAAAAAAATGACTAGATATTGTATGATTATTTAAAAAAAAATTAGTTTGAGCAGCATCTAAGTAGACACTGTCTTCTAATAATAAGTAACTGTAGTCCTCAGGCAGGAAAGAGTGTTCATTTAAAAAAAACAAAACACAAGTCCTTTTAAGGAATAAACAACGCATTCTTCATTAATGAGTGCTGATCCACTGCTTGCTAATTAAAATAGACATCTCCTGGCACTGTTCCTTAATTATTTACAGATGTTATTCTCAATCAATGTTTTACTGAGAAACAAAACCTACTTAATTGTCAGACGGAACTATAACTGAGAAAGACCATCCAGCTCTTACCTCTGCAGCTGCCCAGGAGCAGAGTATAAACACGCTGTCGGACAGGACGGTAAACGAAGGCCTGGCTGGGCAAGGCCTGGTCAAGCTCATCTTCCAAGGTGTTGCTGCACTCGATCTCTCCACTGCTGACAATGCTGTATACCAGGTAGCTTTCTGCCTGGATGTGATGCATCCTGGCGACCTGTTCAAAATTCAGATACAATGGATTTCTCCTTAAAAACAGTGAGTGGCCTTCAAAAGAAAGTCAATAACTTTCATTTCATGCCGGTTTTGAGAAGGCACTAAGAAATGAGTGCCACTCAAAATCATGATATCAAGTAGCATTTGTTTTCTTTCCTTTGAACTTCCAAGTTTAAAACTCTGTTTATATTCCTTTTCCTTTACCTTTCTCACTCCATCCACCAGTCTTACTAGTATTACCTCTTCAGTGATCATTGCTTTTTCCACTTGACACCTCCCAGGAGCCGGGTGCTCGCTACTTTTCACCAGGGTCACGGCTTCATGCCTGTCAACACTTCCACTTGGAGGCCCAACTCCACCTTCCTCAGTTTCTAGCCCCATCCTTTTCCATGCAGAAAGCACTTACAAATGCTTCCCAGTAAAAGTTGTCATTTTCTTTTCTTAAATCCTCATCCTTTTCCACTATAACTCTCTTCAAGAATGAGTATAACATAAGCGCTTCTGAGAAGTGACCTCCAACTTGTGAGAGAAGAGAACATGAACAGTGTCAAGGAGGAGATGGGCAGTGGGAGCTTTCCAGGAGGAGGAGGACATGTGTGAGACAGTGATACTACAGAGCTGGAGGAAAAGGGGAAAGTCGGTGGTGGCCAGGTGCCAGTGAACTGCGGCCACATTCAAGCCATTAGAGTTTGTCCTAAGAGTTACAAAGTACAAATAAAGGGCTTTATTTCTATACACAGCATGACAAATAGACTGGAAGGGGCAAAGCTGCTCCAGAAAATGTCCTTAAAGGTCATGACAGTCATCCTGACAAGAAGTAGCTGGAACTGAGGTGGCAGAAATGAACACTGCACAAATTCACAACTCATTTCCTAGGTAAGAGTCAAAAGTCATGAAGACTGACTATGAAAAGTGAGAGAATTCCCAGTCCAAAGCTGTGTAACTAATGAAGATGGCAAAACTCAGATGCTATGAGCAACTAAAGGTTTTGGGTAAGCACAGTTTGTTTCTGAACTTGTTGAGATGCCTCTGTACTTTCAAGTGGACAAATACCTGTGAAACCGGGGTTAGGGGTGGGAATATAGGTTAGGGGTAGAGCAAACGACTAGCATGTGCAAGGCCCTGGATTCAGTCCCCATCACTGGAGACTGGAGAAAGGTAATGCTTATCTCACAGGGCTGTTGAGGGTTAAATGAGAAAAGATAAGCATTGTGCCAAGCAAAGAACTTTATACAAACGGTACTTATTAGTGGCCCTCCATCAAAACTCTTCAAAGGTTCTATACCATGTTCAGATTTAGTGCAAACTCCTAGTGTGGCATTCAATAACCTTCACAGTCTGGCTGTACACCACCTTCCCCAGTCCTTCCATCCTTCACACCCATATTGTAGTAACAGATTCCAAACACCACATGCTTTAGGGCTCTTACAACCCCAAGTTTTGTCTATTCAAAGCAAATGCTGGCCTCATGGAGATCTGGATCTGGTTTCACCTCTTTGGGGAACTTCTCCCTTTATCTTTTTTTTTTTTTAAAGAGAGAGAGAGAGAGAATTTTTTAATATTTATTTTTTAGTTTTCGGCGGACACAACATCTTTCTTTGTATGTGGTGCTGAGGATCGAACCTGGGCTGCATGCATGCCAGGCAAGCGCGCTACCGCTTGAGCCACATCCCCAGCCCATCTCCCTTTATCTTAACCCACAAGAGTCTCTCTCCTTAGAATTCCCACAGTTCTTGCCTGTCATATTCATGTGACAATATCAAGTATACATAAAATCTGCCTTCCTATCTAAACTCAAAGGTTCCCAATCTGTGCCTCCCCAAGTCCTTAACCACTGCACCAATCACTAAATATTTATTAACAAATCCATCGGTAAAGATATTTCCAATCATAACATCTTTGACTGGAGTGGGCACATTCACCTACCTTTAGGATTTCAGGGTCTGAAACCAAGGTTACTTGTTGTTTTATTTCAGAATCCATATCCATGGGTTTATCTTCTTTAATTTTAGGATGGGCATACATGGGTACTTCTAGATTAAAGTCAGAGTCTGTTTCTACAGGTAACTGTTGCTTGATTTCAGGGTATGCACATGTGGGAACTTCTTGTTTGGATTCAGGCTCTTTACTCATAGGAACTTCTTGTTTGGATTCAGGCTCTGCACACATGGGAACTTCTTGTTTGGGTTCAGGCTCTACACACATGGGAACTTCTTGCTTGGATTCAGGAACTGTACATATGGGAACTTCTTGCTTGGATTCAGGATCTGTACTGATGGGAACTTCTTGCTTGGATTCAGGCTCTGTACATATGGGAACTCCTTGCTTGGATTCAGGGTCTGAACTCATGGAAATTACTTGCTTGTCCAACATTATTAAACCTTTGGGTTTTTGGAAGAACCATGGTGAGCTCTGTCCTGGCAAGAGATATGATGCCACTCCTTTATAAAAAAGAGCCCTGTTTGGTCCCAAAGGCAACATCTCTTCTAATTTTTTCTCTCCTTGATGCAAATGAAGAACTTTGGATATATGATCTGACACAGCTAAGATAACGTTACCTTTTTTATCAAAGTTCTCTTTTACAGAAGTGTAGGAAGACAAGCACTTGAAACGAAAGCTTTCAAACATGCCCTCTGGGACTATGTCATTGCCAAGTAGGCAGGCTAGCAGGGGAAGGTCTGCCACACAGAGGCCCAGACTCTCGCAGAGCTTCTCTCGACAGAGCATGATGGTCTCGAGGCTCTCCAAGCAGAGCTCGCTAATTGAAAAGTAGGGGCACGTGTCATAAATTAAGTAATCAGTGTCTTCCCCAAGAATCCCAAGACAATTGTACTGGAGACCATAGGAAGCCACCTCATAGTCTGCCTCCTTCAATGAACACAAAGTTTCCTGACCCAGAGTCTTCAGAGCGAACCGTGTAAATATAGCCAACCCTGAGGGGATGAAGAACATGTTTCTGCCGGGTTGCTCCCTGTGTGACCTGATGTAATGGAAAATCCTAGAGATCTCCCTGTTGTTCTTAAGTCTTCGTTTCACCCACTCATTTCTCTTACCCTGTTCCACCATACCATCAAAGAAGAATACCAACTTGATGCCAACAGATGCAAAGGAGTCAACAAAATCTCGCAAAGCAGAAAAGTATTCTCGCCATTGGCCACCACAGACCCAAGACTCTGGAGTATACCAGTATCGGAGACAACACATGGCATCCACCACAACAGTAGGAGTACATCCAGGGTACTTGCTTCGGTGATGTTCTGCCAGCTCTCTGAAATTGACTACTGTACATATATGTGGGCAGGTACTTCCCACAAACCCCTGCAGACCTCTCACACCCATAACTGGACTCTGGAAAAGGATCTGCAAAGAAAAAGAAATCCATAATTAGCAACTATGGCATTTTCACTAGACATTTGGCACTTTTCAAAGCAAACACAAGGCAATATTTAATATTCCAAAAGACTCGTGTCACCAAACATGACATGCTGGCTAGGAGCCTAAAGAGTGTTCAATTAAAACACAAAGCACTTTATCTAATCTAAGCATACATTAATGACAGGAGTATCACAAGGACAACACATGTAGCAATCTTTTAAATTTTTACTATTATTCAAGATATTTCTCAACCACATTCAAAGAGAAGTCAACACTTTCCAAAAAAGTAATTATTACTCATCCAGAAACTGAAATAGTATTTTAAAAACCTACAACACATATTACAATACACAAAATGAAAAAATTTCGAAATACATTTGCTGACAAAAAAGGACATACACATGACTCAACTTGTAAAAGTTCTAGCTCCCTTAGAGCTAAGATAGTCTGTAGTGGCAGAAAGCAGAGCAGTGGTAACCACCATGTGGGGAGCAAAGCACAAGGAATTCCCAAGGGGACACTACGTGGTCATAAACAAGTGTACTACTTTGTGCTGAGAGTTTTACAATTGCATAATGCTATCATAAAACTTGTCAAACTGTATACGGAAAACTGTTATCAAGCAGATCTCAATAAATGAATTGAAAAGAAAAATTCATACAAATTCACCATATTAAGCATCGTACTATCTGAATTTGTGATTGATGAAAAAAATAGCCCATTCTAAAAGCTAAAATCAAATAGAAAATGCTCAAAGAATTAAAATAGTTTATAAAAATAAAAATGGAACAAAATACATATATATCATATGATGTCCTCCTTTAGGCAAGGAAAAATCATCAATGCTCAGAAAATATTCTATGAGGACCTCCTGGATTTCAATGTCTACATATTCACTATCATTTCCTCTGAGCGATCAGGGTCACATACAAGCACACAATCACTACAGTCTCCTCTGAGCTGTCAGGTCCCACATCCAAGCACACATTCACCATGGTTTCTTCTGAACCATCAGGGTCATGTCCAAGCACATATCAGCAGCCCTCATTTTTCAGTGCACTTACCAGCTACGATGCTGAATTGGGCATCTACACATACAAACTTTAATCTTTAAGGCAACTCTAATGAAACCCTTATAGAAGGGCTGGGGATGTGGCTCATATGGTAGAGCGCTCGCCTAGCATGCGTGAGGCACTGGGTTCGATTCTCAGCACCACATAAAAACAAAATAAAGTTATTGTGTCCACCTAAAACTAAAAAAAAAATAAATATTTAAACAAAAAAAGAAGAAACCCTTATAGAAATCAAAAGTTCTAATTCACAAGTGAAGGAACTGTAAACAAACCACTGTGATGACAACAGACACCCTCATAAGACTCTCTTAAAAAATATACTTATTGCTACTGGACACTGACCTGTAATGGTTTAATCTGAAGCTATCTGTTTAATAGTCATTAAAAATGAAAATATATAATATATGGGCAGAGATAAATATCACCTATTATATATGGAAACTCATCAAAGTCCTGACCATATGTTATTAAAGAGACTATATGAATACATATGCCTCAAATCACTACTCACTATCACTAGTATAGAGTTTGCTATGGAAACAAAGTCAAAGTATTGAGCTACTACAGTAGAAACTGGGCCTCATAACATAATTATCTCTTAGCTGTTGGGTTTCTGTTGGATTCATGGACATGGATCTTTTCTCCACGATGGTTACACTGCTTTTTCATGTGCTAGAGATCTAACATATAGCCTCACAGGAGCTAAGCAAGAGCTCTACCACTGAGATATATGCCTGGCTCCTAAAGGTATTCCTCAATGTTGTTATAACATAGTAAGCAGGGGACAGGCTTTGGGAAAGAAATAAAAATGTTGGTTAGAATAGACTCTAGACTATTATTCTATGCCTTACTTTGAATTAAGCAGGTCAAAGATAAATCTTATAAATCAGAGACTAACTCAGTTCTATGTCCTTCACAGGTCTGTGCTGAGTGCTGGGATATCCCAGAGTGCATGGCTAGCCCCTGTTGATTCCTTTCCCATAAGCCCTCAGTTCAGACCGCTCCTGGAAGTTCTGGCTGGGTCACTCAAGACACAGGAGAAAACAGCACACAGGTGGAGAGAGAGCTAAGAGCTGGGCACAGAAACCCCACCATGGCTTTCCAGAATGACGCCCGCACCTGCACAGCAGGTTGTGTCACAGTTGAACTTGTCTTTCTTTCCTTGACATTTAAAAAAAATCTTCTTTTTGATGCAATCATTTTCTACTGAAACTGTAAATGACAACAGTAAATTTCTCAAAATAACCACTTTATTTTGCAAGAAGCCAGACTCTGCTTTTTTTTTTTTTTTTAAACAGGGGGAGAGAGAGAGAGAGAGAATTTTAATATTTATTATTTTTTAGTTCTCGGTGGACACAATATCTTTGTCTGTATGTGGTGCTGAGGATCGAACCCAGGCCGCACGCATGCCTGGCGAGCACGCTACCGCTTGAGCCACATCCCCAGCCCCCAGACTCTGCTTTTATTCAGATGTTTCCGCCCCTTTCTCACACTAGTAGTGAAAAGCCCACTGTTTCACCTGAACAAGCACAAGCTTTTCCTGTCTTTCACACTGCCAATTTCTCACATTTGAGTCACAGATAAACCTCAAGTATGCGACATGAAAAAGTGTTCTCCTTTGGCATTTACAAAAAAGAACCAGGGTAGGAAAGGAGTTGGGAATCATGAAGCTGAAGGAGGCCTTCCCATACTTCCATGAATTCAAGAGCTAAATACTCGCCACGCCCACTTTGTAGAGCAACGTCCCTGATGGCCAGGTCTGGAAGCATCACCCAAGCACAAGTGCAGTCAGCATGAGATGACAGAAGTGTCCAAAAGGACAGGAAACTGCGCCTATCACCTCAAATAATTACTTTTTGTTTTCCCTTTACTGTTGAGTGCATCTATAGAGGCTTCTCCTTCTATAAAGAAATAATAATGCAGTTATTAAAGAATGACTGAACAAATACATATAATTTAGATTTCAATTAATTCTCCCTGCAATTCATATAGGAACTTTTTATATGTTGATCACTGCCGTTTAGAAAGAAAGTAGAAATCTTGTCTCATTAGGTAGGAGTCTCACTGCCCTAAATATAGTGTGGGACACTGGGGAATCACCACTATTAAGGTGGGCCACTTGGGACAATGACATATTTATCTGTCTCATCCCAACAGCTAGCACAATGTCTCATATAAGGGGCCCCAAATCTATTTGAAATAATAGATAAATGCAAGGGCAAAAAGAATAGAAATCCACAAGGATTTCTAAAAAGAATAGAAATCCACAAGGATTTCTGAGACCCCACATGTATCCTAGGATAGAATGCGAAGAAATGCTGTCCTCCAGCAGCCCAACACAGGGCTTGCAAAATCAACACCAACATCAATGCAGGAAGTTCTGAGGAGCTACAAGGAACTGCAGGCACAGTGGATCTGGAGGCTGCTGCTCCTAGGCCAAGCTGCACTTTCCTCTGACAGCGAAGCCTGTCTCAACTGCTGGGCTACTAAAACGTGAAGTGGAAGGAAAAAAGACAAATCCAGGAACTCCTTTACTCCTAACTTTCAACTTCTAAACATCTGTGGAAACTGACAGAGCAGCACACCTCAGCCTAGCCCCACCTGATGCTGACCTATGCCAAGGTTCCTCTAGGTCTCTTGGGCACATGAACAGTTCACGTGTGCCTGACCCCTGCACAAGGACAACTGTACTTGGCAGCCTAACCAAATTCCCACACTCACCTAAGTAAATGTCCAAGGAGTATTTACCACACTCCAGAGCCCTGCTAGGGCTGTGGATAAAGTATGAACCAGATGGTGGCTCCTGCAGGACAGAAGAAAATCTGGAGGCGTACACATGTCAAAATGTGACCAATGGGACACTTTAAATGTGTAATTTATTTCAAAAGCCCCGTGGCAGATGGGCCCCCTAGTCCCACTAGGCAGATGGGCCCCCTAGTCCCACACATCAGTTTTGTTCAGCCTCTTTTCTCAAGGACACATTGCAGTAAAGGTGTAGTTATGGGGGAGGAAATTGACAGTGTGTACTAGGTGAAAATAACCACTTGCTTAAGGCCACAGATATTAACTAACAGGAATGGCAGCATCCAAGCCCACCAATCTCAAAAGACTGTCTTCCTTTCCTTAGGCCTCACCTCTCCACTGACACAGATGCATCTGAGGGTGACCTGGTCACTGCACACCAGGAGGGCCTACAGTCTCCTACCCACAGGTTATTCCCAGTCATTCCCAGGGCCCTCCAAGGATAACAGTGACAAGAGGGTCTCTGGCTTTTCCCAACAGCCCTTTGCCTTTCCTTACCCAACTGCAGTTCTACAAATCTTTTTACAAGTGCAGGAAGCACTGTGAAAACGATGTCACTCAACACACACAAAAATGTGAGTATACCTACAAATAGTTATGCTGCCTTACTTATCCAGGATTCAGAATAAGGCCTGATATATATCAAAAAATCCACAAGTTAAAGCTAAAACAAAATTTTCAGGAGAAACTCCTTCAGGCTCTTATAGGCTATGGACTATTTTTTCTCCTCAGTTCTAACAACTGAACCCAAAGTAGCAAGTAGAGAAGAATACATGATGGAAAGGGCAACCTTAGGCAGGTATACTGACAGCAGTAAGAAGTTCTGACAGCTGACACAGGGAAACTAAAAGAAAAAAAAAAAAAAAAGAAAGAAAGAAAGAAAAGAATTAAAACAAAAACAAAAAGACCCCACTAAAAAAAAGCAGACCTAAAAACTCCAGGAAAGATCTGCATCTGCATCCCTGTTTATATCACAACATTAAAAAACTACATACAGTTCAATATTCATCTGAGACCACTGAGGAATGTCTGTCACACTAGGCAGAAAAAGAACATATCATAGAACAATTTCCATCCTAAATGTGTTATCTTGGTGCTTAATGAGCAAAAACCTAAATTGTCCCAAAATCTCTATTCAGGAAGTTGCTTCTCTGTTTCAAGTTGGCAATGGTTATACTGTAAATGACTTTGTAATAATTTGCAAGAATCTGTAGTGAGTTAAATTTGGGTTCCTAATGCAACAGTATTAATACTGACCACTTTTACAGAACCTGGCATACATATGCAGATGTGTGCAAGCAGATACACTAAAGGATATAATGTGGCAGACTTTATATTAAAAGTACTAAGGGGTTGTGGCACAGTGGTAGAGTGCTTGCCTACCACGTGTTAGGCACTGGGTTGGATCCTCAGCATCACATAAAAATAAACAAAATAAAGATATTGTGTCCATCTACAACTAATAAATATATTTAAAAAAAGTTCTATAATAAAATTGACTTACATAGTCTTTCTCACTGAGCAATACTATGTCAATCAATGGTGCTCAGGAGCTGGCTTTTTTTGGCTAACAAATGCACAGATTCACTTTATGAATGAAGACAAATCTACGTACTCACTAATAACTTGTAAAAAATAATAATCTACCTCCTAAATCTGGTAGACTCTAAACTACTAAAAACTCCTCTAGAAATACTTTAAGCATTATTGTTTATTTTAATAACTTAAACTTTAAAATCCCTTAAGATTTTCCAATAAAATACCTTACAAAGAAACATGTCCAAAAGCAAACTAAAATACAATTATTTGTTTATTATTATACTCTATAAAAATAACTGATCACATTAGGATTGCCCTGTTTTCAAAGTAATAAAATAAAGGTTGCAATAAATTCCTCTGAATGAATTCCCAGTGTACAACTCTAGTTTCTATGGAGTGCTTTCATGACTTCAGCTAAGTAGATTCCTAAGCATTTCACCATCAACCTCTCAAGGAGGTAGCAATTCTGTAGGGAAATGAATCTAACAATACCTGCACTTACACTTGCAAGGCAAGAGTTATAAGGTCCTGCCCAACGAGCTGAGTTAGCTCATGCTTAACCCCCTTCGTCCATATGAGCACCCCTAGAAGATGAAGGAGCACGAGTTAGGGAGGGAAAGGTCGGATGGACAAGAGGGTAAATCTCAAGGCAGCAGAATATGACAAACGGCAAGTTGTATAGGGAATGAAATATACAACTTGGGGTTCTTCTTTGTAAAAAACAAAATACAAATTATAAACACAGGATAGGAGAGTTCCCAGGGCCTTGGAAGCAACCCATGCAATTGAGGGACATGAAAGACTGAACTTCATTAGTTTCAAGTAAATCTGCCTTATAAATGATACCCAGATTCCAATTCAGGAATAGGGTAGAATCTTGGATTGCTATAAAACCACAAGGGACCTCAGATGTCACCTACTGTATTCCTTTCCGTGGGCCAAAGGTTTGAAAGACTAGGTGGTGAGCGATTTTAAAAACTGGTAGGCAAGGAGGCCTAGAAGAGCAGTGAATGACCTGACACTGCTGTGCTGGTGGCGCTTCTTCCCAAGAGCTCAACCGGCAAAAAAGCACCGCTATAGCTTCTAAACTAAAGGAACGGCTGGGTCAGGGGAACCCAATGGCGATGGCGGGAGATGGGGGAAAGGATGAGAAAATAAAAAATCAGAGAATGCATGAAGGCCGCGAGCGAGGCAAAGGGACCAAAAGCAAGTCCCAGGACCGGACGGTCAGAGATCATGCACAGAGTTGGCGTCAAAAAGGAAAGGCTCTGCACACCGCGGCCGACTGGCCCCCACCTCGCCCTCCCGGCCTCCGCGTCCCCCTCCCCCGGGCCTCCTGGCTGTGCACGCCCAGCACCCGCGCGAGCCTCCGCCACCGCCCCCGACCATCCCGGCCGCCACCCGGGCCGCCGCAGAGGGCCCCTCGTCCGCACCTCCGCCATCCCTCCGGACCCTCGCCACCACCCCGGCGGCCCACAGGCCACTGTCAGGTCCCTAGGCCTGCCCTACCTAGAGACGCGAAGAACAACCGCCAACACACCCACCCCACCCTCCGCCCCGCCGCCTCTGCTTCACTTCCGTTTCCGCCCAAGTGCTTCCGCCCGGCCGTGGAAGCGGGGCGGGGCATGGACGGCCCGGACGAAATGCAGGGTGCGTGGTGCGCAGGCGCAGGGGGAGGCCGCAGCGCGAGATGCGCATGTGTATGAGCGGGGGCGGGCGCGAGGTGTGTGTACGGGAGCCTTTGGCGCGGAGGGGGAAGGACGCCTCGGCCTGTTGCCCCGGCAACCATACAACTTCCGGCCTCACTTCCTCAGGCGATTAGCGGACTTCGCCATTTTTCCTTTTCTGCCCTGCAGATAGAGCGTCCTGCGGGATGGAGTGCCAGTTTGTTCTTCGTAGGCCTAGGTCTCATTGCGAGTGTCCGGAAGCCAACTTCCACGTCCCGCAGCTCGGATCCTGCGACGGTAGCGGGCCCTGGCCCGCCGCTGCACCATGCTGATCCGGGCGAGGACTCCACGCTGGCGCTTTGGAGGACGGCGCGGCCGCTGTGCCTGGTCACTGCGTCGGGTAGAGGGTGGGGGCCGCGCTCCCCCGGAACGACCCCTAGTTTCTATTCCACTCTTTTCTCTACAATCAGGAGAACGTTTGGGCATCTACATGTATGACAGGACCTTGGAAACAATGTAATTCGTTTTTTAACTTATTGACACATTCCAATAATAATAGGCCAAAAGAGGATGTATATCCGACTTCCTGGACGCATACTGTGTCCTAGTAAGTCTGCTCTAAACCCTGGTGAGCTAATGAGGCTTCTGCCAGGGGAGTAAGATGTTTAGGTATCATTCTGGGATACACATTTTGTGATTTCCTTCAGAATCTCTGGCAAAGCACTTGATAGAGAACTCAAAATATAATGCCAAATTGAGGTGACACCACAGAAGCACTGAAAGATTTGTGAAGGAATCTTTCCAGCCAAGAGGCTGAGGCTTCATACTAATTTTTTTCTTCCAAGTAAAATCAACAAACAGTGCGTAGCACCCGTTGCAGACTGAGGATGGTGGCATTCCATCACAAAAGCAGGTGAAACAGCATCCAGTCTTAAGGAGTACAGATTGTGGTAGGAGACACAAACTGATGGGTGAAATGTTAGAAAACAGGTGAGACATATAGCAAGGGCCATCATGTTATGTTGAAATCTAATTTCCACAGTGATGGCATTTGGAGGTGAGGCTTTGGGAGATGATTGGGTCATGAGGGTGTAGCCTTGGAGAATAAGAGTAGGGCTCTCTCACCTTCTTTCTTCCAGGTGAGGACACAAGGAGAAGACAATCTGCAATCCAGATGGGGGCCCTCAGAGAGCCAGCCATTCTAGTTTCAGTCACCAGTCCCAGGACTGTGAGAAACCTGTTATTTCTAAACCACCCCCTCTACAGTACTTTGCATTAGCAGCCTCAGTGGACCAGAAGGGAATGAGAAACACCACAAGGAGATAGTAAAAGAATAAGTGGGTTAGGAATGACCTAAGGCAGAAGGTGCAAACCTAGGAGAGAAGGGTAAAAACCAAGTGCTATGGCCCAGCAACCAGGAAAACCATCCTCCCAAGAAACAGGAGGCTCATTCAGCAGTGGCAGGGTGTCAGGGATGACCAGAAGGCAAGGCCCACTATATTATAATTCTCAGGTACCACATAGAGTAGAACATTGCCTTACTCCTGAATGTACATAAATAACAAGGATCAACAATCACTGGAGGAAGAGAAAAATCTAAAAGTAATCAAAAAAAAAATGCAAGGGGAGAAATGTTATAAAATGCTTTATAGTTGGCAGTCTCTGAAGATAATATTACAAATGAAAGAGAAGTCCACCTAGAGAACAAGAAAGACCTCCCCAAAATTAAAGAAGCAGTGAATTAATAGAAGACAGATTCAACAACACTCTTAGATGATAGAGAAAGAGCACAAGAAGATTAGAAGATAAACTCAAGGGGTCTAACATGAAAAATAGGAATTACATGAAAGGAGAATAGAGAAAATTATGAGAAGGAGATGAAGAAATGACGCAAGAAAACTTTCCAGATCTTGAAGACATTTTCTCATGGAAAGGAACCACCAAGGACCCAGCACAAAACTTACTTTGAAAGGATCCACACCAAGGTATATCATTACAAAATTTCAAAACATCAGAGAGAAAATTTATTAAAGCTTCTGGAAGGGGAAATAAAAAAGCTCACATTTAAGGCATACAAAATTACAATGGCATGGAAATTCTTTATAGAATCCCACTATAGTGCATACCTCTAATCCCAGCTATTTAGGAGGATGAGGATGAGGCATGAGGCTGGTCAAGTTCCAGACCAGCCTGGGCAACTTAGAAAGACCCTGTCTCAAAAAACAAAAAGGTCTGGGGATGTAGTTCAGTGATAAAAGGCCCCTGGGTTCAATCCCCAGTAGCAAATAAATAAAGAAAAAAATCCCAGAAAGCCAAACTGTGCTAGACCATTAACTTTAAGATTCCGAAGAAAATAATCCATTAAAATCTTAAATTCTCAGCAGAATAAAGATACTTTAAAGTATGCAAGCGCAAAAACGTTGTCTGTCAAATACCATAACTCAGAAAGCTGGTGGAGGATATTCTCCAAAATTAATAAGTCAAGAAGAAGAGTATTAAGGGCCTATAAAACAGAAGAGAAGGGGAAACCCAGGACAAAAGCTTGGAGAGTGTAGGCCTCCAGAAGAAACATCTGCAGCAAAGATGAAGCTGTGAAGCACCTCATGTGCTTGAGGTTTAAACAAGATCTTCAGAGTTTGGTGATGATCAGTAAAAGCCACACAAGAGAGCTGATGAGCAAAAATCCAGGCAAAAACTGAAACCAGCAAAAGTGGAGATGTAACTGCAGCCTGTGCCTCAGCTGTGCATGATCATCACGTGATAAGGTAGATACCGAATGGTGCATTAATGGACAAAGTACGGCCACAGCCATTTTTAAGAAAGAGGGTGACCCTAACTCTGTGTAGTCTTGGGTTTTCATTCAGGAAGTGAGGGTGCTAGAGCTAGGATCCAGAGTCCACACATTGGAAATAAAGGCCTTATAAGAAAGATCTTTTCAAAATCAGAGTAAATTCCAAGTAAGTAGCTAAGAGATAAATGTGGTGGAAGGAATTGGGAATGGGAATGTGTAGTGTGGGCAAAGACTATTTTTGTCACAAATTAAGCAGCACTATTTGAATTTTTAGATGAGTATATTTGTTAAAGGAAAATTTTAAGTTTTAACAAGTACAAATGGCACAATTAATCTGTCTACATTCTAAATTGTGATTATTAGAGTATACTACAGTGAAGGAGAGGAAAACTCAAACACTACCTCAAGGTCTTTTTCCTGGGAGACTAGAAGAAAAGTTGTACATAGAAATCAATGTGTGTGGGGGGGACTAAACCCCTCTTCCTTCGTCTCTTACTTCACATCATAGACATGCTTTCTATGCCTTAGTATGTACACCCAATCTGCTCGTTAGGGAGACAATCTAAAAATAGGGAATTGAAGGTTTATATAAATAAAAGAAAAAAATAGAAAAGAAAGAGGAAGAAAAAAAGCCAGGACTGAATGGGGACTAAGGGAGGGTAAAAAGTTGAAGAAAAAGATGAGAGAAATGTGGAAAAATGAAATGGTAGGGTAACAAGTTGATCCTCTCAGTATACCTATTTATTAGTGATAGTTTCATTTAGATGCTGAACTGAATTTCTTTGAATGCAACAACCACATATGCCCAATATTTATTTGGCTAACAGTTCATCTAAATGGGAAAGAAGAAATGCCACAACTGAAAATATGGTTGGTGCACATTACATGTTACCGGAGTATTTCATTGCTGATAAGAGTGGCATCTAGGAGGAAAGTGGCCATTGCTCTGTGTAAGACTTCAGAACCTTGGCAGATCTCCCAGAGTTCGGAATGGAGCTAACAGCACAGACAGCAGAGGGAGGGGCTTGGCCCTGGTGGAGCCACTCAGTCACCCACACTTAGAGCCCTTCCTTCTGATCTCATGAAATATTCTCCTTGTGAGAATCAGGGTTTTCTGTTACTTGGAGCCAAAAGTATCTTACCTGTTTCAGTTTCCACCCAAGAAAGAGCAATTCCTATAGAAGTTGTCCATAACTGTAAACAACTAGGAAATTGGACAGAAGTGTGGAATTATTGTTTTCAGATGATAGAAAATAGGAAGTAAAGATGGTGATTCCTGACCAGAAGAAAGCACAAGTGAGTCTAATGGCTGCCCTAATTTCTGCCTAGAGCAACAGAGAAAATTAACAAAAAAGGAAGGTCTGTTCTTTGACAACACACACACACACACACACACACACAAAATGGCTGCACTGATCATGATATTGAGGATATTGAGAAAGTGCAGGACCTATTCCTTCAGATGTCACCACAGTAGAGTAGGCTATCTGAATAACTTCAGATGAAAACAGGTTTCCTAGAACCATGCAAATCACCAGACCTGAACAAAGAAGAAATAGAAAAGCTGAGCAATCCCTGTATCGATTAAAGAAATTGAATTTGTAAGTAAAAAACTTCCCACAAAGAGAATCTCAGTTATTGATGCCCCCTTGGTGAATCCCTCATCCTTTTAAGGAAGATTCTTAATCTTGCACAAACCTTTTCAAGAAATGGAAAGGCAGAAGAGCCACCTCCAAGACATTTTATCATTTGTATTGTGGCAGACCACAGGTCCGATCTCACATTGCTCTCAAGCCCTGTGTGATCAGTAAGGCAAAACCAAAGAGGAGCCAAAGGAGCCATTCTTCCTGCCATGTCTGACCATACCCCTTGCTCTGAGTCATTTGTGGCTTCCCATTTGCCTGGACATGGCTGTTACTGAAGCCAGATTTAAAATTAGGTAATCAGTGTAGTTAGGTAAATCGGGCCTAATATCCAGTGACATCTAAAATGGAGGCCATGCTGACAATGATTCCGGGAAACGCAGGACAACTCAAGGAAAGTTAATGAAGTCCCAGAAAGGCCCTAGGCCAAAGTCCACCCCAAAGAAATGTTAATGGAACCC